ACACATAAATATTGGTACAACGGCGTACCACACAATAATAATGAGAATGGGAAGAGATAAAGGATGTAAGGTGCGTGTAAGAAGAAAAAAAGGGACAATAACGACTACAAATTAGTGTATGGTATGGACACAATCGAAAGTAGACTTATTCCACGATAGTTCTTTAATAGGTAACGTGAATCATTTTTAAAGATAGGGACGATTATCGACTCATTCCACGTTGTTGAAATACTCTAGATCCCAAGCCTTTGTGAACAACGCAGTCATTTCCTTAACCGCCGCCACCACCCTTAGAAAGGGCCGGAGGTAAGTCATCTGGGAAGTGATTTGTAGCGTTTCAAGAGTTGGAGTACCGGTAATAGAATTTTAACAGAATAGATCAGAAAAGATACAGGTACTAGTTACTCCTGAAACAAGCTAGATTTTGATACATCAGAAAGTGTGCAGGATTTTAGTTTCATCTTTAAGATGTCATTAAAATGGTGAGAAAAATCACTTGGGAGCGGAAGAGAGGAATGTAATCTCAGTATTACAATACTGTCGTCGCTTAAGGAATTCTTTAATATTTGCTAGACAGAACTGTTACTTGTGTGGATAAGTCTTAACATAGAAAATATTAATCCCGAAAAGCGTCACCTCCTAAAGGACGATAGCAAAAATAGATTTAAAAATGAAAGAATTCCTGACAGACAGGATTTGGCGTTACCGATTAAGATAATGTGCGATTTGGTCTGATCCAACTACTAGTATTCGAATAAAAAGCTATGGTGAGTTAACGCACCGTTTAAGAGCATATTTTGTAACAAACTAGAACAAAGATCGATGTAGTTGAGTGCCGGATTTGGACCAGGGAATACAACTACAGTTAGCCATATGTCAAAGACGCGAAACCTATGGGAGAATGAATATTTGATCAATTCCTTCACGAAAAATTTTAAAGCCTCCCTGGTTTTCTATTTCTATTTAGACATTTGACGACCACGGAACCTGATACTTAGTCAATTATATTAACTACGTCGATTTCTCCGTTTATCATAAACTGAGACAATCAAAGAACAAGGTAGGGAAGATGGAATATAGTCAAATTTCCACACTGATTAGTATCCCAACTATTCTAATTGCTAATGATGAGGGACCAAACTTAAAGACTTTTGGATACATTATTTCTAAAAGTATTAACAGCAACTTGTTGAACGCAGATCTGATAGTTAAGAAATAAACAAAACAGGGTGACCGCTAAGTTAAGAAAATAGACAAAACGTGAGTCTAGTTAGGAACAATATTATTACTTGAATGTTTGTTGAAGCAGTTAGTTTAGGCCAGGTTTCCCAATCATCCTGATCAACTGGATCTTCAATGCTCACTATTGGATATTTGCTTATCATTTCCTTGTACACATTTGTCATTGCATCAGGACTAAGCCAGGCAGATTCTGCAGAATGAGGGTTCTTGAAATCCAAATCATACTTCCCATTCTTATGAAACTCAGAAGCCGCACAATCCATACCAATTTCTACTTTTCCAGTATAGCCAGCAATTTTTATGGCTTCTTCAAGCAGCTGAAGACCTGGAAATATTACAGCTCTATGAGTACAAACAATCTATGAAAACTATAGCTAAAAAGAAATAGGCATAATTACTAACTACCCATACGAGTAATTGTACGAAGTGTCATGTCTTTGCTATCACCTCCACAAAGAGAAACAACAAAACCATCCTGCTTCACATACATTATAAATAGTTGCTTCAAATTAATAAACTATAAAGATTTGAGACTCTTCAATTTCTTACCAAATGCCGATAAACTATTTGGAAGTTAGTTTATAGAGCAACTATTAGTGAACTTACGTTAATAATGATTAAGTAACGTAACCTAACATTCCAAAGAAAAATTACTAATTGGTCTGTGCTGTCAAGTTAGTTACTAGTTTTGTAGGGAGAACTATTTTATTAAGTAGTATAGGCGGTTTACAGAACAAGTTCCAACCAATGCTGTAACCAAATGGTTCTTACGCGACAGGAATGGACAGTGTTTAGAATACTGAATGAAGTCTGAAGTCATTGATTTAACCTAGATAGGCTTTACGGTTGAAGTCCTAAACAGTTTAAAATAGGATGATGTCATCTAGTTGTTTCCAAAAAATACATTTTACCTTACATTTAATTTAATGTTTGATTGTTACGGATTTTACTTTTTAGTGTGATGTGAAATGTGATGGGTTGATCAAAAGTGACCCATAAAATAAAGCATACAGCAATTTAGTTTGATATACTGAAAAGAAAACGAAGAAACTAACAAAGGTTACCGAATAAAGTGCCAAGCTTACCTTTCATATTATCCTGTATATTCGGTGCAAAACCACCCTCGTCACCAACGTTGCACGCATCCAATCCATATTCACGTTTGATAACAGCTTTTAAATTGTGGTACACCTCAGAACCGATTTTCATTGCTTCAGTGAAAGAGCTGGCCCCAGTAGGCAGAATCATGAATTCTTGCATGGCTAGCTTGTTGCCGGCATGACTGCCACCATTAATGACATTGAATGCTGGGACAGGCATTATAACATTTTCATGCCCAGCTAACTTCGCAATATACCTATAGAGAGGTAAACCCTGAAATAAAAGAAACCGCAAGTAAAATTTATGAAAATGAAAAAGTAGAGGTACAAAACTGAGATCTCAATAGCTAAGCTTATTGCTTAAGATTGTAGGTCATATCTAATATTTAATGTGCAAAATAAACTAATATAAATTCAGTTTCTATACATTGATTAGATAGTACAACATAACTCACGGCTTCAGCTGCACCAGCTTTGCACACAGCCAAAGATACTCCCAATATAGCATTGGCCCCGAGTTTTTCTGAAATAAAGCATCATTTTTGTATGAAGAATCTCAAATCTACACAGCCTTTATAGGCGATACTATCGATTTCATAAGTTATTATTGATATCATTAAAAAGAACACAATTGATCCTATATGCTAAAGTACCTGAAGCAATCAAAATACATGAATACTTTATAAGTACTTCGGCCCTGGCACGGCCGACGGTGGGGAGTCCACTCTCCCTCTCGAAATGCCCTCACATGGCAACGCGTATACTGCCACTGCCAGGGAATTTCTACTCACAGCCTTCTTGTGTCAGGGGTTGTTTACAAAAGTGATAGGACGAAAAGCGAATGTTTGGAGCTCTAACCGGGTTGGTAGGCACAGAGGGTCTACCTAGGGGAGTTGGAAGACCCTGATTCCAAACCAACGGTGGACATCAGTCCCAGGATCCTGAAGGAACAAATGGCGTACTAATCAATAATTGGTCACCGGCTACCATGGAACTGCCCCCTAAGAAAACCAACTGCTTCGGTTTGGGCACCCGGGCAGTATCACAGCCCACACACAAATCAAGTGACTTGTGTGGCACATATATAATCGGTATCTCTTTGTACCAATATTTATGTGTTCAAAAAAATAAACAAAACTACCCCCTCAATGGTTGTGAGGCATATAAATTTGGTCGGTCGAGATTTTTGGAAAAACTTAATTCAATATGTTACCCAAAAATTATTGTTCGTAAGCAGGCTGATATCTAATAAGACTACAATTCTTATTATAAAAATCCACAAAAAACTCAGCATTTATAAGTTCTCCAAAGTAGGAAGCAACTTTACGAGCTATTTTGTAGATCTCGAAATGAGATTCATTTGCATCTATACTTTTTAGTCGGTCACCAATTAGTTCTGAACACTGGGAAATGTACGTTAAACTAAGTTACCATGCGAAATCAGCCTACAAAAGTGAAATTAAGACTATTAGTGCGAGCCAGAATAGAAGTGGAATCAATGAAAAAGATTAAACAATAGAAGCATGGTTCGAAAAGTGATGCACAGATGTATATGGAGAATTTATGGGACTTCAAAAAACAATCATAGAGTGGTTAAAATCAAGGCTACTGGTGGGACTAAACATTAGAAAATTACGATATCATAGAATAGAATTGTTTATGGGCAGTTGATCTCACATTCGATACAGAACAAGTGAGTTTTAACGAACTATAATTTTTTAACGAAATAAAGCTTTTAATATATCACAAGTTTTTTTGCAGAAAGAACGCCCTATTACCTGATGTCATTTTTAAACGTGAAAATAAAGTCGCTTAAGTGTAAATTGCACTTTTTACTTCTGAAGAACCAATTAATCTAAGAAATAACGTTAACCACATATTTCATGTAACGAGGGTCATCAAACAACTCACCCTTGTTTTCTGTGCCATCAAGATCAATCATAAATCTGTCAATAGCTGCTTGATCAGTTACGGGGATATTTTTTTGAATTAGAGCTGGAGCAATAATTGTATTCACATTACTAACTGCTGTTAAAACCCCTTTGCCCATATAAGCCTTTGACTTGGTATCACGTAACTCAAGAGCCTCATGGACACCTGTCGAAGCCCCACTTGGGACGGCAGCGCGGAATAAACCTGGACAAAAAAGAGTACATTCACATTTGAATCTATATATAAGATTTATTATCAAAGTTAACTTCAGCTGGAACTTAAAATCCGCTGGGGAACTACCTGGTAAATTAGTAACAAGATATTAGATATATATTCTCCACTGAGTATCAACCTTGACAAAACCACATCTAACGAGCGAATTGTGGCGGGTAAACGTAAAATTACCAACTACCACGATTAGTGTACAATAACAGTGGTGAGATCACGTTAGTACGTGTGAACGATTTGTGCATCAAGTGGACAAAAAAGACCAATGTTCATAAACTAATCGTCTAACAACATACCTTTAGATGTTTTTAAATCCACCTCAACTGTTGGGTTTCCCCGGCTATCGAAAATTTGACGGGCTTGAATCGATATAATGGACATTTTCTGTGGAGAAAAAATGTGGTTAGCTAGGTTAGAACATAATACAGTAAGAACAATGCTTTGTATTAACTTTTATTGGACTAATTTGTCACTAAGAGACAATGTAAACATCTACATTTATTCACTATATATCTCAGGGTTGACAAAATTATCCCAGTTTGATTTGTCATCCAATTCTTTCACGACAATTTCAACGTACGGGTCCAAGTATGGGATATCATCTTCAATGGTTGTCCACTCTTCCTTCGGCAAAATATTTTTCGAAGCGTAGAGATGCGTCGCTCGTGAAATTCGGAAGTCTCTAGCCTCCTTTAGTTCGCGTGGAATTCGGCGGAGAGCTTCACGCCAGACAGGACTATGAGGTAGCCAATCATGTTTCAAAAGTCCAACCTGATTATAATAAGCATTGTTGAATCCGAACATTTTTATCTTTTTTTGAAGTTCACTCATCCGATTAAGACTGGAACGATACGATGATATAAATTCTGCACCAGTTCGAAGGTATGCCATCTTGAATATATTTCGCTAGCCTAAAAGGTAATGAATAGGACCTCATATGAAAAATTGCTCTGAACTTATTTGAAAATGGATTTTTACACACGGACTAATTTGCCGTGTAATATCTATTAATGCACTAACATAAACATGTTACAGTGCCTTTATAATCTGTGGAGAATATTATAACATCTTTAGAACCTTAGAAAACGTACAACATTAATAGCCTTCACAAAAATGGGTTTATGAACATAATACTCACCATGCATATAAGCAAGAGAATAAGTATCTGACGTTCTTATGACTGATTTAAACTAACCAACGCAAATTTTATGGTACATTTATATACAGTTTATAAACTGTTTAATCTGAATTAAGCAAAACGGGTAAATTAAATCTAAATTTTGGAAATCCCTATGGTAAGTCATTGGTGACCCTGATAGACACGAATGCGAACTAGGTGAAAACATATATTGTCCATCACCACTTTGACAATTTTATTAGTTCTGGGTCATATACGCCTAGGTCTGTTACTTGTGAGATTTCTGAAAATGTATGTTAACATCTGCGCATTCGAGCTGGGTACTTCACAGAAATGTCTATGAATCTCCCCCAAATAGTGGACGTAGGGGGAAACGATTTTTCGCTACAAAAACTGACATCAAGTGGTAAAATCCATAATTCCCCCTTAATTTAAGTTGTCGCCTCATATATTTCCTCGGTCTTGGTCATACAGGCTGTACAGAATCTAGACTGAAATACATTAAATAATAGAGAATTCCTACAGTTCAGACCGTCAAAGTAGATTTGTAATAAGTAGCATAAGTGCCAATGGGGAAGACGGCATACCAAATATCCAACCGACCCATGTCCCAAATAACCTACGTGACTTAGTGCTCTACCAGCCGATCTACATGGTCATCAGTTTATACAGTAAAACAAATCATGGTTTCAATTTGTTTCAAAAAACCGAAAAGCGAGTACCTGAACCATAAACTGTTGCAAGAAAGTCCTTTGCGTATTAAAAATACACGAAACTCCTCTTTTTAAGCCAACACTACCGACCTTGTGAGATTATTAATAATGACTGGAATTATATCTTTTGTGATTACTAAGTAAAACATGAACTAGAAAAAGGGCTTCTGTCAATAAATTAGCAATGTGACCGAACTTGACTTTGGTTTGAATGGTTTTTCATAATGACTAACATAGGTCAGTGTAAACAGTTGTAAGGCTTCAAACTGTAGCGGTAAAAAAAATCCCCAAAATCCGCATCAGAACATGAGTGAGTACGTGGCGCTACATATCGACAACCGCTAGCCAACTTAGATTAATCACTTCTCAATATATCGACACTCTATCAAATATATCTTCAAGCTTCTTTTCTGACTTCTGATTTGACTGGGTTGGCAGGTTTCGATTACAAAAGTGGTACTCTTTAGTGTTTTGTCTAACTCCGAATAATTGCGGCATCTTAGGTGGTGAGCTATGCAAGAGCTGGCTTCCACGAGCGCGGCCTGATTGATCCACGTACACAATTCCTTACAGTATTGAGAGAACTACCGCGCGATTTCGACAGGTACGTCAAATCTAGTATGCATACTAGTGACGTCTCGGAACCTTACGAAACTCTAAAAAGGTATATTCTTAAACGTGGAGATCAGATAGATCGACACCGGTTAGACCAACTCCTTAATTACATCGATCTAAAACATGACTCAGCAATAGAACTGCTGCTACGAATGAAAGAGGTCATTGGTCAACCGACCTTTGACGAATATCTGTTTAGACAACTTTTCTCGTCCCATTCTAAAACAACGCCGTAGACGAGCTGTATGCATCTACCGACCGCATCCTGGAGATCACAAGAACTTGTAACTCCGAGGTAAATTGAACGGAATAAAAACCTCAGACGACAGAAAATGACATTTCAGGACTCTGTAATACTCTAACTCGTTACCATAGTATTCGTCATGAACGTGTACGCTCACAAACTCCTTGTAGTTTTTCACGAAAACGATCTGTCCCTAGGTCACGAGGGACAGATAACCCTGATTTGTGCCACCAAAATAATAGGCATGGTATGTCTTCTCGAAATTGTAGAACACCATGAAATCTTAAGAGCTCCAAACCGACCGATTCGGAAAACGTTCCGGGAAAATTCCCAGCCGGCACGCGTTAACAGCAACCGTGGGTGGCAAACATAACCATCTCTTATACATCACTGGTGTGATGACTAAATTTCGCTACCTCATCGACTTTGATGAGGAATTTGGCGTTCTTCCTGAAAATTTTAATGACCGACTGGATGGAGAAGTTTTCGACTTAATGGGAAACCGATTGCCACATATGGCAAGCGATGTGAACATCGTAACATGGTTTTACGCAAACCTATTCACTGGGTCTTAATTGTTGCAGATGCTTCCATGGCAGTTATTGACGCAGACCTGCTAAACACATCATAATTTATTCATTGGCACTCGCAAACGGAGGTTGGTGGATGACAATAATAAATTAGTTTTTAGTGTAACTTCTTATTCCGATTTTAAACTATCCTCAGTCACTGTACAGTACACTACCGATTCATGCTATCAACAAATACTCGACATGTACACCGATATAAAACAAACGCAACCTAAGCAACCATGTGCAACCAGAAGTCTTACACATCACATAACGACTACAGTATTACTTGTATTTTTGAAAGCGCGCCAAATAGCTCCCGAAATGCTGAGGTTGGCCAAGAACGAATTTGATCATATGATAGACTCAGGAATCGTTCGACTATCAAACAATTCATGTGCATCTCCGTTACACATGGTCTCTAAAAGTGACAACAGTGATTGGCATCAAACTAGCGATTGTAGATTCCATCGGACGCATTATTGATGCTAAAAGTATATGACCTCCGAAAAGTAAAATGGCAGCCATTCTGGATTACTCGGAACCCACCACAATCAAGCAACTACGCACGTTCAATGGTCTGGCAAGTTTCTATGGACGATCCATACCGAAATGCGCGCCTCTTATTGGACCCTTAACCGACCAGATTCGTGGAAATGTAAAAATCATCAATTTCGACGACATCGCACCAAAAGCACTCACCACAGTTAAGGAACTCGTCGCGAAAATAAATATGCTCGCACATCAGGACACCGAAACACCCATTAGTATCGCATTAACCGCATCGGAATTAGCAATCGGAGGAGCCTTACAATAATGGGTTAATCACACCTGTAAACCTTTGACATTCTTCTCGAGGTGGTATCAAGATACTGAACTGAGGTATAGAACTTTCGGTAGGGTACTCCTAGCTATATATTTTGCTGTACGCTGAGAATTCACTACTTTCACCGACCACAAACCTCTTACCTTCTCTTCAAGCTCATCTTCAGACAAATACTCCCTTCGAGAGTCTCAACAGCTAGACTACACTTCGCAGTTTACTTTACGGATAAAGAGACATTACTATGCGACACATATACAATTACGGACCGTCTAATAGTGCTGAAACATTATCGACGCAACGTCTTCAATACATTGCACAGGTTTCCTCATCCAGTCGTTCGTGCAACCGTCAAGCTTATAGCAGAACTATTTCGTTGGTCCGGTTTGACTAAGTACGTGAAGGAGTGGGCACGCTCCTGTGTCAGCTGTCAGAAATCTAAGGTAATTGGACACAACAAGTATCATTTGAGCTCTTTCGCAACTGACGACACTCGTTACGACCATGTTCATCTGAATTTGGTAGGACCTTTCCAGGTTTAAATAGACACTCTAATCAATGAACGTGTGTGGACTGTTCTACTCGATGTCCAGAATCAGTAACCATGAAGGGCATTACCGATGAAATAGTGACCCATGTCCTCATCCATCGATGTGCAGAAAATTTTGAATGCCATTCAAATATCACTACAGACCGTAGACGCCAATTTGAATCCGGACTTTACCGTTGTCATAGGCTCTCTGCATGTGTAAACCGAATCAGACACTATGTTCTGTTTACCTTACTTTCCTACTTCGCAGTTATATTAGATACTTTTCCATCCCTAACTTTTTACTTGGTGTAGACAAGGAACTCACTAGACCTATCAATGTTACTCAACTAAAGTTGATCGTTAAGAAACGCCTGTAGTGTCATTGGGCCCTAACTACACAATCCTCAAAGCTGAACACGAGATAACTGGGAGAAAACCCCCAGCGATGGAGAAGGCGGGAACAATAAATTGAAGGAATTCGAATTGATCGGATAGCCTGGCTCAACCTCTCAGGCATGGTCGCTCTGTACAACCCGCTGCTACTCATATGAAAAATACTGTTCCATCTCCAGCTCGGATGTGTCCTCCATCATATATTGGTAATTGTTACGACATGATGACTCAGTGTAGACAATGATGTGACTTCCACGTAAGATTTTAAAAATAAGGCAGTTAAATCATGACAAATTTGTAATTTTAGAATTGGATCTATTATTAGAGCCATTTATTTTATTTCACCACTCGTTACCTTATCTATAACTCATATATTTCTATACGTTTTTCCCTAATTTTATAAACAATTAGCCTACATCATACTCTTCCCAATGCCTATACTTTGATTGGTAACCTAAACTTTATACCATGATTAACTACAGCATTGCGTCGATGCCTTACCCACAGTTCATAATTTATAACTGTCTGATAAGATTGTAAAATGGTTCTTATAGAAACAGTAGCTTCCAACTGGATGTAAAACACAGAGCATTGTGTGAGGTATGATATATATATCCGAAAATAACTTAAAATGAGCCTAACATCACAAAAGGAGAGGGGTGAGGCTACTGACCAGCAAGCATTGATGGTGAGGGCGATGACTTCAATCTACCCATGCTTATGGGAAGAACGTTTTGTTTGTATCAGGATCTTTATGATCGAAAACAAGCAAATCATTCTGTGATATTGAGGTTGTTCTCCTACCTACTGAGAGACAACAAATGTAATTTGTAGATCATGCCTGCAAAATGGCGTGTACCTGCCCTTGCAGAAATATATTATTACTATCTCTTACAAAGGCTAGCCAACTAAGATTAATTACTTCTTGATACACCAATATTCTAACAAATATGTCTTCAAGCATCTTCTCTTCTGACTTCTGATTTGACTGGGTTGGCACGTTTTGGTCACTGCGCTGTCAAATTCTGAATACTCGTGGCATTCTCAAGCGTCACGTATTTTGATGCAAATGTACTACATTTAGGTTCTACGTTAAATGAAGTATCCAAGTGGACACGAAACTATCATAGGCGCCTATACCTGTTAGCAATACAGGAGTACCTTTACGTATTGCTAAGAATGTGAAGAAAAGAAACAGTTACTGGTGGCTGGATTTTTAATTAAAACGTTATTAGTGAAAAAAGAACATTCCGTCTAATTAAATTTCGAAATTTACTCACATGCAGTCCAGCTTTTATGAGAGTTGTCTGAGTATCTAGATATCTAAGGTACATGTACTTTTTATCAGTAACAGCAATTACCTTTACGAATATGTTCTTGTACCCAGTTGCCGGACAATATTTTTACGTGTGTAGATATCAGGAAAATGGAATGCTTATGTATCTGTTTAGAATACTTATCATTGCTTTACTATTGTGTCGTTTCATTCTCAGAGTTATGCCCAAATCTTGGCAGTTTTCTCCCGCTATCAATGCTGATAGGTTGCATATTATACAAAAACTCCCTTGATGGTCTATGAAAAGCAACTGCACTAATTGTTGGTGAATTCGAAACCCTTGATTACTCTAATCGTCTACGGTGTCTTAAAAAATGTGATGCTAGTAAGACAAAATTTTTAATAAATGTAGCACGTACCTGTAAAAGTCCAGCGTTTCAAAAAAGCAAGCAAC